CTTTCCCTGGGTCTGAGGGGGTCTGAAACCCAGAAGCAAACCTTTAGGAATCCTTATTAACCTTGTCTGCCATCCTCTCAGCCGTAAAAGTGTGTGTGGTGTCAAAATGTCATGAGGGGACTGACAATTTTGGTACGGAGAGGAAAAAAGTCTCATCTTAGGGTAGACATCATGGAAAAAGTAGAGAAACTGACCCATGTCAGCCCTTTTCAAGCTTGGCTGTAAACACATCTTGATGAAACCTGTCAGGCTAGTAAATGCCATTCCACAGCATCTCTGGGGAACCCTCTGGAAAGAACGGGCAGAGAGAAAGCCTCCATTGCACTCACGGAGAGAAAAGAAAACGGCAAGGACTGGGCAGGTGCCATTCATGAGTTGCTGAGGCCTCGTAGTGCAGTGCCTGGGGCAAATGCACAACCTCGCTCTGTCCCTGGAGCCCGGCGTCCCTGGCGTGGAGGTGGTGCTGCTACACCCTGATGGCACTGACGCTCTTCAACCAAAGAATCACGGAATAGAATTCAAGAGGCACAGACGAACCTGGTGCCTGCAGAAGTCAGCTTTTCCACCTGAGTCAGAGCTTGCCAGTGACTGACATTCCCTAAAGTGGTGAAAAAAATCTGTTCTCAGGACAGGAGGCTACGCTGGTCCCTTCTGCCAGCTGTATCCCAGGAGAGTGTTTGAACAGGACGAGGAGAAATAGAAACAGATGCTTGAGGTCCTCACAGCTCTCATTCCCTGTTTTACTGAGTTTTTCTTTGCTTTATTAAAAATAAATTAAATGTTTTTCTACACTGGTCTTGGTGACACATACCTATAATCCCAGCAGTCTAGGAGACTAGGGCAGGAAGATGGAAAGTGCAAACCCAGGTTGGGCAAATTAGTGATTTACTAAGACTCAAGTCTCAACAACAACAACAACAACAACAAAAAAAAGGATTACAGGCGTGTGGTGGCACACGCCTGTAATCCCATCACTCAGGAGGCTGAGGCAGGAGGATTGTCACGAGTTGGAGGCCAACCTGGGTTACACAGTGTATCTGAGGCCAGCCTAAACTACACATCAAGATCCTCTCTCAAAAAACCAGTAACAATAATAATACTAATAATAAAAGGGTTGGGGATGCAGTGGAGCATAAAGAACCTGGATTAACTCCCTGGATTAAAAATCCGGATTTAAAAAAATTCTATAGAACTGTGATGGTTGGGACTTGGAGTTCTATAATTTTAGAATCCTGTAACCAGTGTCAGTCATCAAGGTGAATCCATTGCTACCACTTGGGGACAGCTGACTTTAAGGCCCTCCAAAAAGCGTAACATAAAATGTTCATAGGAATAAAAATACTTAGGCATGAAAACAAGGCCTAAATTTTTTATCACTGATATATCAACCTACGTAGATTACAGCAGCTTATTCTGATGAGGCTCTGGAGATGGGATGCAGTCGTTTCCTTCCCCAAAGGGCACATCTGCCCTTTTTTTTTTTGGATACAAGGTTTCCCTATGTAGTCCGTGCTGGACTGGAACTCACAGCAATCCTCCTGCCTCGGCCTTCCAAGGGCTGGGATTACAGGTGTGCACCGCACACCAAGCAGGACACACCCCTTCCCCTCCACCCCCAACACTTAGATTTAGGATAAATTGAATGTAACTTATACTTTCATCCCCATCCCTTTCGAAAATATTTTGGGACAAGATTTATCTAAATTGCCCAGGCAGGATTTATACTTGTGATCCTCCTACCTCAGCCTCCCGAAGTGCTGGGATTATAGTTGTGTGTCACCTTGCCCAGGTACCTTGATGTGTCTTCATGGAAAACACTCAAGTAGATCTGTTAATCTGAAACAATACACTATAATGTGTTCAAAAAGACTGGGGACAGGGAAAAGATTGTATTTGTTGCGGCTTTTTTTTTTCCCCTTCAGGATAATAGTGGACCCACTGTTTGAATTTTAGAGGTATAATACTTAAACAGATAGCCTGGAGGCTTAGGAAAATAAAATTGAACATATTATTTGAAAATGTGAACTGATATACTGCTTAAAATAAGATTATTTTAGCCGGTTGTGGTGGTACACACCTATAAATCCAATATTCAGGAGCTTGAAGTTGGAAGAGTGGAGTTTCCATGGCACCTTGGAATACCCTGTCTCAAAATAAAAAGAGCAAGATGCTGGGCGTGGTAGCACACACCTATAATCCCAGCACTTGGGAGGATGAGGCAGGAGGGACTGTCACTGAGCTAGAGGCTAGTCTGAACTACGTAGTGAGTTCAGGGCTAGCCTGAACTACTTAGCAAGACTCAAAAACAAAAACCCAACAAAAAGTGGGGTTGGGGGGAACGTAGCTCAGTGGTAGAGCACTTTCCTAGGATATATGAGGCAAGGAGGCCCTGGTCCCATCTCCAACACAGAAAAAAAAAAAAAAAGAACAAAATTCATATCAATGGTTGGGAGGGAATTCTGGCCCAGTACTGCCCATCTTTTGATTTTCCCAGAGAAGCCAGAAATACGGATTTCAATCCTGACTTTTAGAAACCCTATTTGGCCAAGCCAAACATTCAAAGCATTTTCAGTAGCAAGGGTCCAGTTTGCAAACTTCTAAGTAACTTTCATAGGATTTTACAACTAGGAAACGAAGGGCAAATCAGAACCTGGCTCAGAAGGCCTCAAATTTCTCTTTCCTCTCAGGGCAGTATGGGAAAGAGCTGCACTCAACCAAATGAAAATTTGTGAAATTTTCCAACTTCCAAAGCTGCCGGCCTGTGGAAGTGGCAGCTGTAGGAGGCACTGTAAGAAAGCAACCAGGCGAGCTTCCCAAGGGAAGGTTGAGTGGTGCTGAGCGAGGGGGTGTGGCTGGGGTTTTAGCTCTTAAAAATCTTTGCAGAATGGAAACATTCTCAGCGCTCTCTGCCCACCTGATAGGATTAACAACCAGCAGAAAGAAAATCAAGATGCTCCTTACCTCACCCTAAAGTAAATCTAACTCGAAGCTGTGTCTGGACCTTCCAAATGCATTAAATCTCCTGAACCAGTCTATAGAGAAGCCTTAAGACATACTCCCTCTGGCAGAAGAATGCTTTCTGGCACTATTTACCAGAAAATATTGGGATTTTGGTCCAACCATGCACTAATATCACTCCTTTCAAAAGACTGCAGCATTTAAAATGAGATGGACATTTTCACTTCCCTTCCCACTCTGGACTGTGGAAAAGGTTCTCCTGAAACAGCTGAGCCGACTCACTGTACTGAGAATTAAAGAGCAAACATGCATGCACACACACATAAGCAGCCATTTCTATAAATGCCTGGGAAAAGCACTCAGCCAAATGGGCCAGAATGCTGGAAATTCTGTCCTGGAGTTGGACAGACTTGGGATCTCAGAGGCACTGCAGGGCCTCCCCAGCTGCAGGACTGGGCAGCTCCCTGAAGGAGAAAATGCCTTTGCTCAAGGTGGCAGTGGGTGTCGGGAAGAGCCAGCCCAACTCCAGGAACATGGCTGACAGGGGCAGGCCCGCCCAGCAGCTGTTGGTGAGTAACACCCTCAGCTCACGGACCCCGCTTCACCCCCAGAGCCACGCTAAAGGTCACATCCACAGCACATGCCGTCCACCAGCCCCACAGATACCCACTTCCAAAGGTGCTGTTGGATGGAATCCTAGATGCCCGCCCCGTACACAACCTGACTTTGCATGAATCAAAGAGGAAATTCTGATTTACTGCAGTGCCAGCAGCCACCCCCACCAGAAATCACTTTCCAAAGGAAATAAAATGAGAGGCAGTTACATAGCCTTTTGAAAAGCAAAGCAAAACAAAAGCTAAAATGTATCATTTTGAAACCAAAGGCCCAAGGGTAAATATCTAAGTATCAAACCTTTACACCAAAAACCAAAAACAGAAAACACCTTCCTAAGGGACTCCAACAGCCTCTTAAACAGGGCGTCACAGGACAGAGAGAAAGAACATTATCAGGAAAAGACCAGGGCCCCTGCATCGGAACAACTGTTATAAAAGGACCTTTCTAAAGATGGTCAGACAGCATGCGTGTGTGGGAATGTTTTCCAACTTTTTCTGTGCACAGAACTGGCTGACCAAGGTCCCCGCAAGTCTGCAAAGCCCGTTTTACACGCAGATGTCTTTCCAGCCACATTCATTTGTCCAGCGCGGCGGCTCACCCTTCCTGGGAGGGATTCATCCTCCGACCTAGCAGCTTCCAGAATGGCCCATCATTACAGAACCTTGACCTCCGGGCAAGGACCACACCTCCACGCGAACCTCTCCCTTTAGAGGTGGAGGGTGCGACCTAAACCACAGGGGTGGGGGAGGGGGTGGGCGGGCCCCGAAATCTCGCCCCTTCCGAGGGCTAACTCGTCCTAAAGTTAACCCACCAACCTTTATACTTGACCAAACTTCCCTGCTGCCTGAAGCAGTGTTATTTTAAACCTCTCGGGGGACTCTTGGCCAAATTTAAAACCACCTTGGCAAGCCCTGAAAGTAGCAGACAACCAGCCAAATGAGTCCTTAGTCATCCCTAAAAGGCTCCAAGGAAAGTGCGCCGCTTCCAACCCCTCTTCCCACACCCGGTCTCGACCACTTCGCTGCAGCCCCACAAGGCAATGAAATAAAAGATACGCCATTGACTTCCCTGCTGCCACCGTCGTCCCAGGTGGGGTGGCCCCGCGGTGGCGAGTGCGGAGTCCCGGGGGCGGGGCGC